CGCAAGGAGACAATGTGGATGAATCCACGGCTGCGCCACCGGCGAGTTCTCGACCACGTACTCGTCAGGAGGCGTCATCACCGTGGTGTGCCATAAAGTTGATGTGTGACGTCAGAGACTAGATCAGCCGCCGTCTTCTCTGTTTAAGGATGAGGTAGCAGGAAACCTATCCTAGGTTTCCAACGAATCCTATCGGCATTGCTCAAAACACAAAAGTTGTATGACCTTCGCCTGCTGTGGTCCACCAAAAAATGTCGGTTTGTCCACATTCGTGACTCCAATCCGTGACAAAGTGCATGGAGAGTTCCGTATAATACTATCAAGTGGAGACGCAAGCTTTTTATTCAGTTTCAACGTTTCGCCCGCCACCATAATTCCATTCATGAACCCATTGCATCTGTTCGATATCTAGATATACCCCCTCTCTTAGACCCCAATTATTGCTGACTATGCAAGAAAAAAACACATCAGAAACTGAGAACTCAAAATACAACTACGTCCACTGTGTGCCCCTCGGAGTAGGCGCACAACAGCAACATGTGCATCAATTGGTTTATTAGGACTTTCGAAACATCTATTGCATCCTATCCTTCCTCATCCACCTGGATCCGGTGGCGAGATAATGACAAGGCAACTGCAGGTGAGTGCGGACGTAGTGGCTGACAAACTTAAACAGTCCGTCTACAAATGCCACACACATACGCCTGATCAACGCACGGTAGATCAGATTTCCACAGAGACCAGCAACAGATGGCTCGGATCCCATCTGAGCGGCAGTGTCCTGGAAACCACAATAAGAAGGAGCCATTGTAGACTGGCTCTCTGTCCTGGAAGACAGGGGGCGGAATCGGGTGGAGTGGCTGACAAAATTAAACATACCACAAGTGACGTTCGCGTGTGTGATTCGGAGTTCACAGACGCGAGATCGCTATGAAGGCCACGTTTAAAAAGAGTCATTGAGTTTGAAATTCAGTAATCCTGACAGTTACTCCACAAGCACACAAACAGGATTAACTCTGAGGACCAAATATGTTGTCAGTTGGAAATTTTACGAGACACGACTTTTGGCATATCGTGATTAATTTCTAGTACGTCAGATTCATTGTGCTGATTTTCCTGATATGAAGCCGATTCATGTATGGTCTAGGGACATGTAGACTGGTAGGGCACAGAATGATGATAATTACGACTGGGGAATTTTACCGCAGGTTGATATGGAGGCGCATATGGCCGAGAAGACCCACGCAGTTTCTGGATATCTCAGGACATCAAGAACAGGTGGGGTGACGGTTACGAGGGTATGTAGGGGTTCCTGGCACTGGTTTGCCGGTCTCGGACGATGGATTTGCATGTGAACGACCAAGCCAACACGTTTGGAATTAAGCAAAGGCCAGTTAGACACTATTACACTCGCCTAGCCTGCAACCAAAATATTCCCCACTCACAGTCGAATGTAATGTAGGTAATGTAGGCATCGTTGACTACGAAAGGTAAAAAATACCCACCTGCTGAAAAATATTAGCTTCCGCAATATGGTTGTAATATATAGACAACAACCGTACCTTCGAAGTTGACGTGGCACTGACGCTTTCTAAGGTTCGCAGTGAAACAGGTCCTTGAGCTGAAAGTCATGGCAAGTAGTTGTTACCTTGATTAATCGTCATATGGAACCGCCGCTGGCACAGTAGGATATACTAAGTCACTTTTAACGAAACAAGGTCAAAAGTAAACCGGTCCGTGAATCTCCACAAAACATAGTATCTGTTAAAAAACTCACATACGCAGTCATACCCGCAATAACCGAACCGAAAAAAAAAGATTTATCAGTTGCAGGAAGCTTGCCACCAAGAAGTCTGTGTAGGCACCCGCTCCTAATGAATACTGCCGGTCAAGACAAGAAACGGTTCCCTGGCAAGGGCAGTCCGATGTTATTTGTCGGGTAGAATTATCTCGCCTCCCCACTCCCTAGACTTCCTGTTCATTATGTCGGCCACTCTCTATAGATTGGTTGCTGATTATGAAATGAAAATTACGTGGATGGTGGGCTCAGAACATATCTACTTTCTGATCATGAACCCGACCATGGGCCCTAAAGATCGAGTAATTGCAGCCCTTATCGAAGACATCGAAATTCTCCCTTTAAACTAAGATGTGCATTGTCACTTTTAAAATAACTGAAAAGATATCAAGCCGATTTTCTATGCCAACAACGGTTAGTTCATTGCAAGCAATGAGGGGCACACCATCAGGGAGGATAAGTGAGGACTCGTAAGCATTTGCTTCACCTTCTTCATGTTCTAGGTATTCCAGTGGCGGGACGAAGTCAGGGTATGAAAGCAGTGATTGACGGGAATGAAATCACGCTTATCGCATGTGTTGGTCCTAAAGTCTAAATGAACCAGTGCTAAAAAGGTTAGAGTGCAAATCTCTTATCGGAAATATTGTCGTAATTACCGCATATAAGGGGACGTACTGAAGGTCAAACACTAACATTTGGGCCCTGAAGAGCGCGTATTTAAATTCTCGATCTGATGGGCAGAGCGAGCGCTTTCTGCTGGACGTTATACGTCTGTGTAAATCCATTAAAGTTAGCGGTATATCGTAGCCTTCTCAATGCATTCACGGCATGTCTGTAGATCATCCCAGATGTAGCCTTAATAGAATACCCCGGTCTGGCTAGAAATATAAAATATTCCAATAGGAAATTAAATCAAGCTGTCGAGCAGAATGTTGTTGTTAGAGTAATAGCAAGAAGTAGGAATAAAGTTAAACTGTTCATCAGAAAAGTTGAGATCCACTTAATCGTTTGCCAGCCCATAACGTCCGCACACCTGACATTTTGTAAAATAAACGTTTGCTGAACTCGCACTCTGAGCTCAGTTATTTGGAGTGAAAGCTATAAATTCAAAATGTTCCGTTTTCATAGGTCTCTTGTAAGATAGTCATCTTTTACGAGGACAGAACGCTAGCACGAAACGAGATATTGAAGCCTCAGAAAGTTTTCAGAAAAATAGGAACTGGTTCCCCTTTGAGAAACCTACTGAATATTTGCTAGTCAATTAGCTGAATTAAAACGCCTTTACATCACAAGACTTCCTTTGCACGCGTTCCGGAGACTGCACTTCCTGTGTTGACAGGGTACCACAGCATCCTACGAAGAGTTGTGTCTTAACACTTCCACTTTTTAACTTCTTTAGTGGCCGGTGAGATAAGATTTCCATCAGCTTTCGGATGACATCAACAGTTAAGATAAGACTACCACCCATGGTTCTACTCAAGAACAGACTACTCAATTTTTCGAACAAACTAGTCAGTTATATTCCGCCCTGAATGAAAACAAATCCCAGTTTCCCGTACGTAACCCATGGTTACACCTAGAGGCACGTTTGGGTACATCAGCTGGCAATGCTAGTTCGTGATCAACATTAGCCCTCGGCCTATTAATTAGTAGCCTAGCCAGACTGATCATCGAAATAATGTTTAAAAGCTGCAAATATGTACCTGAAATAAAACGTCGTATTTCAAGGTATCTGCATCCTATGACGATGCAAGTCCTTTTAAGCCTATATAATATGCCAGTTCATGGCTCGAATAGTACTCACTGGCGTAGTTTGATATTCTGTAACAGAAATGGTTGTTTTATGAACAGTTCCGGATCAAGAGCCTAGGCATATTCGTCCCATTCGGAAGGTATAGAGAGCGCGAATGTCATTAACTATCAACCTTTGAAGTGACGTGGCAGTGTGCAGATTTTTCAGAAACATGGAAGACAATTTATAAGATATCGAGTATGGCATTTGATTTTTTTTTTTCATAACAGCCATAAACACTATTTTCGAGGGCCCTCAACAAAGATATACAAAACCTGACAGTTTTGAGTCCGTTAGACAAGTGTCTTGCGGAGTGTTGACAGATGAGAATAGTTATCAGAAGTATCCCTAGCCCACAAACGCATAACAGCTAAGAAGCAATTTGATTCGACTTGCGAGCATGTGATAACGAAACGCAGTCTATAAGTCGGCAGTCTTGGTTGACAGCCAAAAGAACAGTAGCACTTACTAAATTCGTGCAACAACGTAGTTGTATTTACTTTCAAATAAGAAAAGTGTTTTGCCTTAAGTAATTCTTCACTACTTGGTACGCGCTGTCGTCACTTTTCCCAATTATAACCGTCTCAATTTTCAACCGTTTTATATAATTCGCATTAAGGTTAGTCGGTTTCCATGTATCAGATTAACCTTCATTTTCAGTTCAACCTGTCTGTGGTTTATTTGCATCCCTTGGGCCTATTTGCAGCCGGCGATGATTCTATGTTTGTCATTCATATACCTCTAGCTGCCCACCTGTATATTTCTTTTGAGCTTTAGAGCTTGGCTGGAGGTTCCACACTCGTGACGGTTGTGACATGGAATGATTCTCGATAATCTCTGGTTTCTAAACGGGCTATGTGCTTTCACAGCTGACTGCGAGCATAAAGAATGATTCACGTCCTATTCTACAATAGGATATCAAATGATATCAGGAAAATGTAAAAATCGCGTATATTAAGTTTCAAGAAGGACATGGCCATTTTGCCTAAAATTACCGGCATTCTTCGAATCCACCTTGCAAGTTTCGAAACGTTTGTGGGCATCACTGGCTGAAAGACTTATTTGTTCGATCTCTTTGGGTAGCATCTGCTCAACATCAGCCTCATCCTTTTTCTGATCTGCCTCTGGTAAATCACACGATTCGTAGAAGTCGGGTTCATCGGTTGCCTTCGGAAATTACAATATAAAAAACACCAAATACTTACTATCCATGGCAAATTTGCAAATTTCGGATCAACTGACATCGTAAACTCCGGACAGTATGCTCAAAAAGACTGCTGATCGAATAGCTCATTAAAAGCCTTTAATCGCATATCAAAACTTTGGCTGTCTCTAGTTCGGACACACAGTCATTATTCTAAATTTATTTTTCATGTTTATATTACGTGCAGTGTACATCACACTCATCAACCTGACTCTTAATATACTCATTATTCAGATATAAGCATTTTATCGGCACCGCTAGCTGGAATAAAC